AATCTTGTTTTATTGCTACTTTCTCAGGTAGGCAGCTACAGCTTAGCTTGGATCATGCTTTTTTTGTTGTTTCAGATTGGGGATTTTTTGTTATTTGCTTTTAGTACAAGCAAACATGTCATCACTGTCCTGCTTAGCCATCTCCAGCGTACACTGTAAGGTTACTGGGATAGCATTTGTGACAAAAGAAAAACCTTAAAAAGCATCAGTGGCACAAAGCATTTTCCTTGCCAACGAGTTAGAAAGGTGGACTTCAAATCAGTGCAGGATGTCCTAAGAGTTGTGAGATCAGTTCAGCTTTGCTCAGCCATGTCAACAGCCGATACCTAAGATGCTGGCATGGCTCAGCTTGATAGGCTGAAGAAATTTAGCTGCTTTGATAAGGTTAAAGGTGGAATTCAGGCAAGAAGAGAAAAAAACCCCAAAACACTGCTTGGAAGCTTGACTGCACACCTTAGCAACACTCTGATGGCTGACAACACAACCAGTGCAAATCCCCTTTCCTCCAGAAAAAAAAAAAAAAAAGATTAACAAGCCCTGTGTTAGAAGGGAATCCGTTGGTCTCTACATCTTCCCTGCTCTATCTGGTGTCAAGCAATGACACCAACAAATCCAGTTACACTGCTTTTCCTTCCTGTATCATAAGGCCTGTCAGTGTTGTGGGGATGACAGCTTCTCAAGAAGACACTGCTTCCAAAATCCAAAATTGTATCCTGAATTTAAAACTTTCTGCTGGAGCAGGACACAGCAAGTACATATTGGGCTTTAAAAAAACTTTTTGTGAAAGAAGTAAGTGACTTCTTGCAAAAAAGTTCAAAGAGCTTTAGGTAAAATTGGAAGCCCACTTAAGTCAGTGCAAGGGTCTTTATGCTAAAAACTTTGATACATTGGTTGCAAATTCTTTATTGTATGCACACAGTTCAAGTCTGTCCTTAAATGTTTGAAAGACTGCATCAATACCGGCCTATTGACTCTTGTTTTTAAATGAAAGCTAGCTGTTTTCTGAATAAATTATTAGCACAATACTGCTCTTGAAATTACTTTTGTCTACTTTAATGCCTTAACAACAACAAATAAACAAACTCCATAGTTGGTCATCAGTTACCATCCACCACACAAGGCAACATACACACAAAAGGCACAGGCATTATTAGGCATCTGCCACTAACAGTTATGAGAACTAAACCTGTCCACAACGTCTCATTAATTTCTGTTTTCAGCAAAGCTGGTGTCCTTTGTGCTATTTCTATGTTTGGTGGTCTGCAAAGAATCACAAGCAAAGAAACCTGATGCCTGGCATAGGCCAGGTTGATATTTGTGGGACCTGACCCTTATTTCTTCTCTGAAAGAATATGGTACATGGAGAAATTATAACCAAAAATAGGATGCTGAGATTTACAAAATTCCTGATTAAGTGAGAAACAAAGTTAGGGATCTAAACAGCTGCTAAATTTAAGAATAATTGAGTGTTTGAGGTGGTGGGATAGAGAAAACAGGATGGAGAATGGCTAGGAGTACTCATGACAGGCAGGAATTTTCAGGGAGCTGCAGATAAGTTTAAACAGGTGTAACCTGGCTTGGAATAACTAGTGAGCAATATAGTACCTTCTATAGAGCAAAGTGACGAAAACCTGAGTTCTTGGGACTGGACTGGACAAAAATACATGAAAAAATAATGCATTGGCAGAGATCCAGTGATGCATGTTAACGCACTTCAAATAGGTCTATGATGTGAAAATCATTATGAGTCTAATAGCCCCAAGTAAAACCAACAAAACAAAACCCATAAGAAATGTAAGGCAAAACTGTGGACTGGAACTAAAATGTATGGGATCACAGAGTGATATATTTTGTTCAGTGTTATGTTTTTAGATGCAGCCAAATCACTGACATTTCTGGGTTAAGATAAGATGTCATTAGTCATTCTGGTGTATAATTTGGGAGAGGGGTTCTTTTTCTGATATAAGGATTTCATGTAGTGTTTTTTTACTTAATGATCAGGTTAAATTCAGACGTCACGATGCTATATCTAGCCTATTCAGGCTAAGCTTGATGAAAAGGTTTAGAGACTTATTTGGTTAGATTTTTTGTTTATTGCCTTCTTGCAATGGTTATTGTGGTGCAGGAGTGAATGCAAAAATAAGTCCTTTCACTCAAATTGATAAATCTCAATTTTGGTAGTTTTTTTCTAGTGGAAGCTCTGAATCAAAGCAAGTGATACTGTCCCCTATAGATCCATGGGAACCAGAAAGTGCAGCTAACTATGAATTAGAGGTTTAGGACAAATCTGGGGAATATGGCCCAGAAGGAAATTATTATTGGTTTTTTGCCTTCAATCATAAAGTTACAATGGCTTATATATTACATAAAGCAAATGTATCTCTAAAATGCATATATATAGAGATATATACATGTGTGTGTATATATACATATACATGTACATGTACATATACATATACATATATAAAATGATGACAGCCAGAATATCATGCAGGCGCTCAGAAAGCAAGCTGGGCATCTAGAAACAGCTTATTTCATAATTTGAAGGACAATCTTGTCACTACTTCAAGCAAAGAAAAAAAACTGTACACCAAATTTTTGGTGGACATAGCCATTTCAGGGAGAGCATCCTGTAGGGAAGCTTGGCTGAGATGCCACATCACATTTTGTTGGGTAACCTAGCCAGCAGGAGAGCTACAAATCAGGACAAAATGATGTTACCTTGTCAACTAAGGTTATTTAACTAGTTTTCTAGTGTTTCCTCCTAATGTAATGACTCTTTCGATGTCAACACTTAAACGTCCTGAAGATCAGTCAGTCTTCTCACCCAAGAAAACACTGCTGGGGCCCACATCCTGTTTATCAAAATGTTTGTTTCATTTGTTCTCCAGTTTCTTGCTACATAGAAAGAAAATGATTGAGGAAATGGTAATTAGTCTAAGTTTCATTTGTTTCTTTCAATTGTTTAAGTTCTTACTGCTTCAAAATACTGTGTTTATATGCATATATATTATATTATACACATATTATATGTACATATATTATATGTATATATATTAAATTGTTTGTTTTTCTTTGTATGTAGCATGTTCCCATGTTGACTTCCTATAGTAACCATTAAAGCAGTGGTATAATTATGCCTAAATGTGGACTCTTCAGAAATGTTTCAGTGTAGAAATTTTTATATTGACCACTAACACTCCTGGACTGCATTGCAATGTTGCCACTGGTTCTGTGAACAGGCTTGGTTAAGTAATTTCATTGCTCTGCATGTGTTTTTCCTTTTACAAAATGCAAGTAATGACTTTTGTGTCTTTTGCTGATGCAAAGTGCTTTGTTGAGCAAATTAATATACATATATACACAGTAATGAAGGCTTGGCATTATCACAGCTGAGGGATTCAAGGTGAAAGTAGAATTTAGATTGCAAAAAAATTAATGTGGAAATGTGGCTAGTGACTTATTTAAACACATTTAGCAAAAATAAAAATGCAAAAATGCTGACTTGGTTTTATTATCTTGGAGCTTTAGCTGCGACCCTGGAGATCTCCAACAGGAATTCTTGCTTCTGAGAATAACTTAATTTTAGAAGTAATCACAATTTGCTTGTCTTGATTTGTGTCATTCTTTTGATACATAAATGCATGCACAACTATGAAAATTAACAAAAGTAACTGTCAGGAGTAGGGGGTACCAGTCACTTCAACACACATTTTTTGTTTTTTTTTTTAATAATCCTTTAGAATATCCCGGTTTATTTGCCCAATCCTGTGCATTTGTAGGGCTCATATACCACTTCTCACTGTAGCAAGACTGCAGTGTTATAGCACTGACACTTCCCATTAATTGTAATGAGGCAGCTGTATAAGCACTTTGGAAAATTTGTTCACTTTTGTGGGAACTTAACTTAGCCTTCTTTACACTTTCATTTATTCAGCCAAGACAAAGAGGTTTTTGTAACTTCAGTTTTAAATTTAGCAACCGTTTTTCACTAAGTTAAGATTTCTTCATTTTAAATTTATCAATTCCTAGGTTCCTGTTGATTTGACATATAATCAAATCAATGGTGCGTTTTCAGAAGTAAGTCCAGGGCATTTAGTTTCACATTGTACTTTGCCTAGATGCTAGCTTTCCTCCCGGGTTATGTCAGTGTTTTGAGCAGACGATTTTAAGAGTGTCTTGAGCTTTCTAGTGCAGCAATTGTTGTTTTATCTTTTGGATGATGCAGCATACCTCCAAAGGCTGTGAAACTGCCATTTAAAAAGGCATCAGCTATGTGTGTACCCACAGGCACTAAAGACCTTTATGAAGACTCTAGTTGTTGCATGTCAGATAACATATCCAGAAGGAAAACAACATAAAAAGATTGCTTAAATGATCAGAAATGATTTAAACATTGTTTCTGCTTAAAACAGAAATGATTAATAATGACATAACACTAAGAATTTCTGAGCTTTGAACTAGTAACAAGGCACACTTCTCAGTTCTCCTCAAGCAAAGCCTGTCAGGAAAACAAAGCAAGTCAAAACCAAGTAGCACAGACTGGTCTTCCTTCTCCCAGTTTTAATCATTTGCCTGCTACTTTGAAGAGTTAGTTGCTTAATAGTTTCAATGAACTATTAGAATTTTAATTATTTAAAAGGTCATCAGTGTGAGGGAGAGCTATGCTAAAACCTAGAGAAAAAATTTGAAAACAACCAGATAAGACAGGAACAAGCTATAGGCAAACTTATGGAAGATAGCTGAAGTGAGGAATGCATCTTACGGAAGAGTGTGCTTGGAGACCACTGCCCTTTGCTCATTCACCTGCTTATGGCATTGAAGAGCTGTATTGGATCTAACCATGTTTGCTGTCTCAGCATTCATATCTCCTCATTTAGTAGAATATAATCTGTTTTTATTTTATCTATTCATCTGCTGAGCCATTGATTTATATACAGTTACTTTTGCTAATTTTAGAAGCTGTATGGCAGGTGTTTTCTGAAGAGGAATGATGACCAACTTGTGGGATAGCAAGTGCCACTTTTAATTGGAAAACAGGAGCTACTTCAGAAACCAAAGTATTTTATGCTTTTAACAAAATAAAAGAAATTAGAAAAAGATAATTTGTGACTAAATGGGTTGGAGCTAGTACTGGCACAAGAATGTTCAATAACTGTAGAACAGAATTTCCATATTGTTACAGTGTACGTGGCATTCCTGCTCTGAAACTAGGCTGTCTGCATGAATAAGATCATTTTTTATGATAAAAGTAATGCAGCCTGATACCCTAAAATACTTTAAGACTACAGAGAGGCAGAAGTTTATGTAGCATTTGAAAGGATTTGATAAAGACAGTGCAAGCAAAGAAGCATTAAAAGCTCCCTTAAAGTATCAGACAGAAGTGTGCTATTACAGACACAGTTTCAGGGTAGTAGTTAAGTATGTATATCTGTGGGACTCCAGGATTATCGTTTCTTAGCAATCCCTGGAAACTAAGTTTGAAGGTTTATTTGGTTTCCACTTCAGACCCAAACACCATTTTACTGGAAGAGATGCATAAAACACATGTATTTTCTAAAACTTTCGTATCCCTGTATTTTGGATAGTTCCAATACACTGATTTAAGCAGCCAAACTCAAATTAAAATCATTCCTGGAGCAACTCCAGAAGTCTGGGTGTTCAATGTCATTGCTTCAGGTCTGCCCCATCTAACTGCCACAGCTACTGTTTTCTTTCAAGGACATGCTTCTGAAAAGGGCAATGGCTAGTGGAGAAATGTTTCCCACAAGAAACAATAGCAGGGGGGATGAGTAGGAGGGCTTGAAAATGAGCATTATTTAAATACTCAGGGAGAATATATATGGCACAGAGAATAGGAAAGGCAGAAAAGTTCAGGTTCATCAGCTGGAAGAAATGCTGGCTTCTGAGCAGCTGGCTTTTCAGAGAAGATCACTGCTTTACAAGATCTCAGATGCTTCAGCTATAAGACTGAGCACGCAGTATAAATCTTCCAGTATAAGCATTCATAGTGTCTCTAACTGCATGGTTGCATTTCCATAGTTGTCATAATCTTCTTCAGATGAATCCTGAGTAGTTAAGAGTGAAGGACAGGAAAACAGCATAATTGTGGTTAGTAGAGCACAATAATCAGTAACAAACTCTAAAACAACCGTGAAAGTGGGAGCTGGTAGGAGGATGCTGTTGCAATACAATTACTTGTCTGTGCCACTGTCTCCAAATTTTAGCATATATAAAGCACTATTTTGCTATTGTACCTGCACTGCAGAAAACTAAGGCTAACTGAAGAAAATAATTTCTCTATCCTTTTAAGTCACAGAACTAAACACAAGTAACTTTTGTAGTCTTTCCCTTTAGATTGTCTGGAATGATACACTCTTCCCTGGGTTTTTGTTTTAGAGAACTGTCTGGGTCCTAACCTGACATAGGAGTCACTAAAGGACCTTTGCAATTGGCCTGGACACACAGATCCTACCAAGTCTTTTAGGGAGTGACTTGACTTTTCCAGGAGAGCACCTCAGGTGGGGGTTTAGTGGGAAGCAACCACAGCAGTTTCGTAGAATTTTTTAGGCATAAGAGTGAAGAGCAGTTTGGTGTGAGTGAGTACTGTGGGGAAACAAAGTGGTATCTGGTAAATGGAGAATGAGGAAAAGCTGCAAATGTCACTGAAAGGGAAGCATGAGGAGTGAGGCATTGGAATTTGGGGGAGAATTTGAGAGATATAAAAGGGAAATATGTTTCTTTGTTATATATATCTGGGCTGATGCTATGAGCATCCACAGCTAATACTCCAATAATTTGTATTGCCATTTAATTAAAAAAAAATCATAGAAGGCCAGAGAGGTTTCACTCTTTCACTTTTTCTCATTAAATATCCCATTGGAATCTACAGGAGGAGTACATAGGTATTTTTCTCCTTACAGCTCATCTCTGTCTTAATCCTTCTATCATAGACTACTGTAGCTAGTGGCTTATGAATTTCTTTTTTAAGGTGAAGCTACCTTTCTTAAAATGAAATTTTAAAATAGTCACGAACTCCTTCCATTTCGTCTCTGCTGAGCTATATTACACAGCTCAACAGGGTCAGTATGGTCATATCTTCCAGGCTGTAAGAGGAAGCTTGGTGTGCATAGATTTTCTGCTGCTGAAAATGAAAGCCTTGCCACTATATCTAGACTGCAAAGCAGATGCTGTACGCAGCTCATCCCATACCCCCCAGCCTCCCATCAGTGCACAACTGAGGAGTGCGCTACAGCTCCTTCCTGGCTGCTAAGTCCTCCCCCAGGGAAATCAGGACAAGGAAAACAGTGCACACCTGGGATTCTTCCTGACATGTGAACCGCATGTTAGCAGCACATATTGCCCATCCCATGGGACAGATATAACAGGGAGAGAGTGCACCCTGCACTGTATCTGTGCCCCTGTGGCTCTGTGGCTTTGGAAGATTTCAGACTTCTGCTGATGCGGCTTTGCTATTTAAAGATGAATATGCACCTAGTGCCTGCATGCCTTGCCTTCAAGCTCAGTTCCTTGGCAGACTTGTATTGCAGGAACTTGATCTTGTTCAGCTGAAGCAAACTGTTCCAGCCCTTAAATCAGAAATCTCCTCTTATAACCTGTGATCAATGTTCTATGTATGGACAGAGCTGTGCGTATACGTCCCTTGCCTTCCAGTGCCTTTCTTTCCTGGAAGCTGCACTGCCTTTGCCCAGTCAGGCACACAGCTCCTCTGTTTCCTTACACTTTAGCCTAATGTTACATAGAGACTAGGATAGTCTCCTACATCTCAGTCCACTAGAACAAGATAATACATAAAGGATAAGACATGCCTCCCACCTTGGACCCATAACAAGATCTAGGGGAGAAATATGGTCTGGCATAGGAAAACTTGCCTATTTGCAAAGTACTAAAGAAGAATGATGCCTGAGTGGGTTATCTGCCCCCCTGCTTCCACTGCAGTGTTTTGCAATAGACATTTGTGTCAGAAAAATACTCTCTTCACTAGCTTTTTCACTAAGTTTTTTAGACTTAAAAAAGGAACAGGAACATTTGGGTCTGTGGTTGCTCCTGATTGCCTCCACAAGCCCATAACTGAATTTTCACAGGAAAAGCAGCCAGGACTGGGAAAATGTATTTATTTCTTGAAATATCTGTCAACACTTGAATTCCTGCTGCAGCGTATATGAATTTCTCATAGGAAGAAAGATTAACTATTGTCTAGAAAAGTTCAGAAATGGAATATGCTGCACCAAAGGGGATGCTGAGAGATGGAATGGCGTTGAGTAATTGCACATATGCTGTACTTTTTGCACTCACCAAGAAACATGCCTTGCGGACTTTCTATGTAATGGAGATAATTAGGAAGTAAGAAAATTAATGACTGATCAATTAACCTACACATTGTTATCAAAATGAATTACTTAACCCAGAATCCCACTCAGTGCAGCAGCTGCTGGTAATAACTATTTCATGCTCAGCTTGCTGAAGACGTGGGAGGGCTGCGACGTTCAGAGGGGCCTCCGGAGCTCTGAGCACCTGAGGAGAGCAATGGCAAGGCCAGGATCAGTGGGTTGTGTGACAGCTGTAGAGCTTGGGACATAGTGCTTGCTGCTTAGCCACCTGGCTTCCAAAACACAGCACATCCCAGCCTAACTCTGTTTTCTGCCTGTGAGTTAACTTTGATGGTGCACATAAAGAAAAACATAGTCTTGTAGCACTAGTTTGATTTCCAAGTCCCCTAAGGATGCAAAATTAAGGACCTTTGGTTTTTATTCTGGTTTCTAAGCAACACTTTTGTCCGGAAAGCATCTCAGTACCTCACAGACTGTGAAAGTCTGAGAGATAAAAATCTATTTTTAGCACAATTATACATAACATGAAGTGAAAAAACAGAGGTGAAAAAACAGAGGTTTGTTTGAGAACCACACAGAAATTTAGGGAAGAAATCCAAATATTCAGGATTGCAACACAGCTGCCATAGCACAGAGCCCTTTCTTTTCCTTAAAAGTTATATCTGGCTATATATATTTATAATCTACATTTTGATGCAGTAAGAGCTAAAGCAACTAGTACAAAATGGAGATAACACAAGCTCTAGGAGGATTTCTCATCACTAGGACACCAAGGTTCTGCTCCAAACTCAGCCATGGACTGGCTTTGCAGAGGGCTGGGAGACTGTTTTCCCCCTGTACAAATAACCATGATTTCAGTGGCATTTTGTTAATAATGCTTTGAGTCTTACTGATGAAATATTATAAAGGATGGTACATTTGTCGAAAACTATTTTTAATTTTGTGGTTTTAGCATGCAAGATATTCAGGAAGGCACTTTTCTACATAATACTTAGAAACTTTTGATGTACAAGACTTGGGACTCTGGAGAGAAGAATTTAAGACTGTAAGTATGTATGCAAGTGAGGGCTAAAACCAGCATTGCTCATTTTTTGCTGTCCTAAGGGTTAGCTCCTTGTTTGTCCTGACATGTGGCTGCTTGTAAATTTGGTAACAAAAATTGGTACAGAGAGGCCTATAATTCTGGTTTGGATTATTATTCACCTTTCCCCTTGGTCACAATAATTTTCTTTGACTAGAAGAGCAGGCGATGACTTATGAAGTGCAAAGGAATAATGCACTGTGCTGTCAGCCTTTTGGTATGTGTGCCAGAGAGGAAAGTCAGCTTTTCTTTACCTTCAGCAGTAAAGGAGCCTAGAAATTTTTCCACCTACACAAACACACAGCCACCATATACAGAGTAAGAGAGAAAGAAATACAGAGCAATTTGACAATTTCCCTCAACCCCCTTAGTTTAATTTCCCTATTTTTCAGCTGTACCAGGAGAATTTTCTTTCTCTTCTTATTCACAGGACTCCAGGATGCTGTCACATATATCTCTGTAAATGATTCAGACTGGTAAGAGAAATTAAATGTGGAAAACTCACCTTCTGGTAATGCCTACGAGACATGGTAGTGACTGTTTAGCTGACATTTCCTACGTAGCTTGAAAGGGTGAGGAAGGGCTCTTGCTTCAAGGAGGCCATTGCTGGTAGTGATGGAAACAAACATGCCCTTTCTTATTTGGAATTTTATGGAATAATTTTATTTTATTTTAAGTTTATTTGGAATAATCAAATTTTAAGAAACTTCTCCATTTCCACTCCCACAGTTTATTCCAAACTTTCACAAAAACTTAGCTGTGCAATCATAGTCAGAATTGAACCATTTCCATAAAGCATTTTTGTTTTGCCAAATTCCAGGGACAGAAATGTGCCATCACAGTTCTCCCAGCCTGTTTGATTGCCCAGTAGTGTATGTCTGTAGCATTTCTGTCCATAAACGTTGCTGACATGGCCTGTCTGCAGCAATGTATAACATCAGAGGATTTCTGGCCCATCTTCAATTCATAAACCTTTTGTTATACACCACTTGTCACTAGAGTTCAACTATTTTAGTCTGCTGTTAATATGTGATTTGTTTTCCCTCCTGTTTCACTGGTAGCTGGAGTGCCTAGTATAGAACAGTTGCTTTCATCTCTGTCCTACAACTCTGTAGATGCTCATTTTAGAAAAGAGTGGGGATATGTTAACCATGGTGCCAGCTTTTAGAAAGCTGTGCATTGGCTCAGATTTCTTTTTTGCAAGACAAGATTCATCACAAACCACCCTTAAAAGAAATCTTCAGGCATGAAAATTTGCTGCAACGCTGTTTAGCCTGTAGCCAGGAGAAGCTTACACTTTCACAGCCCTAATTTAATTTTGCTCTAACATGCTTATCCTTGTCTGGCTTTCTCAATAAGTTCTTAGCTGCTTCAAGTATGTAAATTTTAATTCAGCAGTGGACATAGGTTATCGTTGCCAATGAAGATGTTTCTAAAAAGAGTACAGAACAAGACTGCTGTTGAGATGGATATTTATCACTGGGGGAAGTGGTTTGGCTAAAATAAGAATGTGCCTGAATTTTCACCCAGGTGCTTTCATTGCAAGTACTTAATCCTGAACCTGCCTTCAGGCATACAGGAAGACCTGTTGGAGTCTGGCTCATTTGAGACCTGTGTTTCCCATTTAATCTTGCAGAATCTCATTAATTTCTTTGATGCTGCTTTTTCATTTCCCCTTTATCTGAAAACTCTGAATCAATTTATGTTTCCTTATATTTCACCATTCAACCTATAAGTTCCTCCTTTAAAAGCTTTCCATCTGACTGACAGTCTTCCTGTTGATCTCAGATGTGTACCTGTTTTTGTTTTTTGTGGCTGTTGTTGGGTAATTTAGGCTTTGAGAAAGATCTGAGTCTGCTTCATCTAATTGACTTACCTCAGATGAACTACTTACTGATAAGCTTAAACACTGAAGAAGTGTTTAATTGACCTTAACTTCAGCAAGTCAAGAAGCCTGGAAGACTTTACATCTACACACACATACATCCTCTTCAGAATAAGAGAAAAAGAAATGTAGAGCAGTTAAACTGGTGTTTCATAAATAGTTACCTAAGCAAACAAATAAATGCTTGAGCCTATTGAAAGGATTTCTACTTAGGTTTCCAAAATCCAATACTTTAAAGAAACATCAGACCTGATGAGAATTCAGCAAACCTCCGTATATAAGCTATGTCACAGTCTTCAATTCAAAGTCGATATGTGCAATATAAGAACTGTATAATCCAAGGCCTCTGCCCTGCTTAGTGAATGGGTGGACTGTGTTCAGGGTATTAGGTAGGAACATCTACTGAAAACAGCTCCTGTCTGTAAAATGCCTGGTGATATATGGCAGAACTTGGCAACTTTTGAGGGAGAATGGAAGACCAACAAAATGCTTGCGTAGCTTTCAGTGCTCCTTGGAGAGCTAGTGTCTTCCAGAAGTTCCAGTGTCATGAAGAGCAAATCACACCAAACTTCCCACAACTGTCCGAAAACAAGAGCCCAGATTCTCAGTGCAGTCAATGGAGAGGGTTGGTGATTGACAACTGAGAAGCCAGATGTCTGTATGTATGAATAATTCTCAGTATGTGCTTCTCACTTCCTGGGTGCACAAATTTAGCCTCTGAGACTATTCCTGGTCCCAACTAAAAACATTTGAGAGCTGCTATCTGAATGCATAATGTGCTACATAAACCTAAATCCTGTGAATAATCAGACTTAAACATTTTAAATGTAACTGGAAATCAGCAGAGATAATTCTGCATCAGAGTAGTTCCACATCCACTACCTTACTGCCCATGGAGGCTACAGAGACTAAAGTACAGAAGAGAGCTCCACAAAAAAGTCTGTGCTAAAATACCCACATCTCTAATCAGAAGAACTGAGTAGCAAGCAGTAAATGAGTCATAGGACCATATACTGCACAGTGCAATTAAAGAAATATTATTCATTTGTTATGAGAGTAGCCAAGTGGCTGGAGTGTACAGCAGCACCAGCATTCACGAACTAAGTGAATTATGGGCAGGAAGCATTCTGGCAGGCTTGTAGTCTTACAAGAAGGGATGCAGAGCAGGAGACCCTGCAGCAGTAAATGCTTTTGTCGGGTACCCATTTGCTGTGAAGATGGTTATGGCAGCATTCACAGGACATTATAGTCTGGTATGTTCACAAATAGATGGAGAAAAAACTAGTTGGACGATGAGTCACCCAAGGTAGACTAGCAGATTTTCCCTACTAGTGTACCTGTAACTATTAGACTACTACAGGGATCTATCCTGGGGGCCATCCTGTTATCTTTGTCATTGTTCTAGAGGAGACAATGGAGTGCTCTCTCATCAAGTTTGCAGATCACACCAGATTGGAAGAGACTGGTTGATATACTTGAGGGCAGAGCTGCCATCCACAGGGACCTAAATAGACAGGAATCTGAATCGCAGAGATTCATCAAGGACAAATGCAAAGCTGTGCACCTGTGAAGGAAGGACCCTGTGCAACCGCATAGCCTGGGGACCAGCTGCCTGGGGAACACCCCTGCAGGAAAGGACCTGTGGATCCTGGGGGACAGCAAGCTGAGCATAAGCTAGCAGTGTATGCTGGCAGCAAAGAAGGCCAAAAGTATATGTATCTGGGTTGTATTAACCAGAGCATAGGAAGTGGATCCAGGCAAGAGATTTTCCATCTCACTCCCAACACTTAGACTACATTTAGAGTACTGTGTTCTTTTCTATTTCCCCTGTCCTCCTTCCTCCACTACAGTACATGAAAATTACTGATAAAATGGAAGGAGTTCAGCAAAGAGTCACCAGAACACTTAAGTCTTGAGAACTTACCCTGTGAGAAGAAACTGAGGGATGAGGACTGGCTCAGCCTGCAGAAGAGGCAGCTTTGAGAGCACCTGACAGCAGCCCCCCCAGCACCTGTTGGAAGGTAATGACAGAGACAGTGCCGGGCTCTTCACAGCACGATGAGAAGACAAGAGCCAAAGGGGATAAGTGGAATCAGGTAGGGTTGAGACTGGATTTAAGGAAAACCTTTTTTACACAGAGGATAACCTGGCAGTGCAACAGGTTGTCCAGAGAGGTTGTGAGCATCCACATCTTCTCTTACAGCTGACCCTGCATTCAGTTGGATGGGAGACCTCCTGAGGTCCCCTCCAACCTGACTTAATCCCGTCAATTTATGACATCAATACTGGAATATGAAGTGGCATGTACGTATGTGAGGAAATAAATAAAAATTTGCTGAATACTGAGGGCAAACCAAAATACCAAATAACTTCTTGTTGACTGAGCACCATTAATGCTCTGCTCTGAGGAAGGCCTGGGTCCTATGCAAAGATACAGCATGCAGCTACCTAATTACTGGGTAATAATGAATATTACTGAAAGGACAAAATTATATTTTCACAGGCATTCTGAATTCCATTATTTCCTGACTTTGAGAAGCTTGACTTTTCAGCCTTAATGTCATTTTAACACAGCTTTCATGTAATATTCTATAAACAACACAAGAGGTTTTACAGTGAAAATGTGCTTAGATATTTGTTTTATCACTGTGCAAAAGGTTCCTCTCCTTGACAGATTGTTGTACCGATACGGCTTGCTTGCTTTGCACTTAATCATGCATGAAGCATAAACAGGGTGAAGGGTGTTTCATTTCAAAGTCTATGAATGGTAATCTTGCTGGCTGTTGCACTGGCCAAGTACATTAGGGTGTTATACAGTCTGTTGGTTCAAGTGGCAGGCTTGTAAGTCCCAGGAGTTAAATGCTCATATTTTTGTATCTTCATGTTTGTCTCTGTCAACTGGACCTGTGTCAGACTGGTTTTGGGCAGATCAACAGATCAATTCCTCTGTAATCAAACTGACATCAATCATCTTTTCTACGAAAAAGATTAACTCTATCCCAGCTGAAACCAGGACACTATTGTCAACTAAGTCCCAAAATCCCTGTCTACACAGAACTCTCACTGACATCATCAGGAGCTCTGATCACGGCTGCAGGATTTGCTAAAATGTGAACTGTTAAAAACAGGCAATATTTCAATAAAACAAAAAATACAGCTCTATATTTAAACATAGATGGTATCCCAGTACACTAGTAAGAAATTTACCTAGCCTATATCCCTTCTGCAAAGAGATACATCTGCAAGGTCTCTGCTGCTGGTAATCTCTGATCATCTTGGCCCAATTCATACATGGAACTGGCGTAACATATTCCCTGGCTAAAAAGGTAAATACACAGCATGGTTGTGAACATTACATTTCATATAACTACTTCTTCATACAGTAAATAAGGGTTATTTGTGTGTGTGTATATATGTGCAATTGAGGAGAAAATAAATTTCACTTTTTAAAGTAAAAGGGTGAAGACGAAAATGCAACCTATTTTATAACTTACAATACGCTCCCATCCTGCAAGGCAGGTATATATCTGCTAAACTGGAACTGCTGAATCTTTACTGCCCTTGCTGTTCCTTCGTCTGCTACCACAAAGCAACAGCAATGACAGGAGGAAGGTTTACACAGTTAATTACTATAAATTACTTACTTCTTAAGTGGAAGATAAAAAGTAAGCATACCTGAAAATATTATTTGCATCATGTCCATTCATCTGCCCTCTTACTTCACCATACCAGAAAGATCCACTTATCACAATAGAATTTATTTGATTTTTTGAAGATTTTTAATAATGAAAGCATTAGACTTTTGCCACAGTCTGCTGCCACTGGCATTGGACTGAAAAGTTGACAGGGAGCCAACCTGTACTTGGCAGCAGAATAGGTCTCACACAATTTGTGTCAGATGTCACAGAAATGGTGCCACTGAAATTGCAGATATTCTGGTTAAAATAACACCTAAAAGTAATAAAAAAGAGGGCTTTTAGTATCTGTTTGTTTGCTGAGATTTTCAGGATCATAGTATCACAAGCATTGCAGTAAGTCCTTATCCAGTACCTGCTTTCTGACCAAACCAGTAGGAAGTAAGTCAGAATTTAAGAGCTGAGTTGCATTTTTCTAAATTAATTGCTAAAGACAGAAGATACCCATTTTCTGTAAAGAAGGATGTTGCACTAGCTGTTCAGTAGCTTCAACAACCTTCCCCCCTCATTTTAGACTACATTTTAAAATATGACATGTAATTTTGACAGCTGGGACCAGTGGTTGAGCAGGTGTAAGTGTTGGAGTGATATGACCATATGACTTCACTGTTTAAGCTTACACTTCATGGTTTAAGGCATACACGTGTAGCAACTGCCATCTTAACTGCTAGGAGGAAGTGAACCAGCCATTTCCAGCCCTAAAAATACGAGTCTTTGAAGCTTGAACAGAAGGACTGCATTTGGGAGCTGGATAATGTAACAGTCATAAAATATAGAGATCAAGAAAAGAACAGGAACTAAAAATTCAGTATATGACAGGTAACATATGGACACTAGCAATTATGGTTAGAATACAGAAATTAAATTATGATTTAATAATATTATTTTTAGGACACATTCTATTTATTATAAAAAAATTGTAGCTGAATACCAAATTATATTTCAGGAGTTAAACATTTCCTTGACTTGTTCTGAACACAAGGCAGTATTTATTGGGTTTGTTCAGAAGTATAGATGTTTTACTGCTTATCTCTATTGAATAGGATGTCTCATTTAGTACTTAAAGAGTCTACATGCATGCAAAATTGATAAGTACAACCAGCTTCATAAGCTGCTCAGAATGCAAAGATACCCATTTTTCACATTCAAATGCCATCTGGATCCCAAAAAGATGCATTTTATGTACGACATTCACAAAGATTTTACTGATTCGCCTAAGGTCTCACGGTTTCAGTAATCTGGCATCCCTTCTGCAGTTGATACAATACATACCAAAGGATTAAAGGTATCAAATATCACAGGACATTGAAATGGCATCAAGTAACTTCCAGTGCTGTAAATACTCTCTTGAGATACATGTACATCTTGTAAAAGAAACTGTTTACTTCAACACGAGTTCAGTTGACACACATTTTACTTGAAAGGTAGGAGTTGAATACAGAGCTACTTTTTCCGATAATTCTTTTAATGATTTTTAATGTCCTTGGACTGTTTGGTGCTTTACAGAGCTACAACATTCATAACACAATCTTCTATAACGAGTGAGACAGTACGTTTTTTAGTATTAGACCTAAAAGTTTTTTCAGAGCTTCACTGTAAGATTATTTATTCTATTGTTAGTGATTGTAGCTGTTTGTTTGTATGTCATTGGCGGTTTCTGTCAAAGGATGAAAGGAATGCCACGTCTGAGTACAGGTGGCTTTTCTTGTGTTCTTCAGCAATAGGAAAGCTCAGGTAAATCCCAGGCAGTGCAGTACTGCCAGAACCATGCTGGAGTCCACAGGGTTGGACAGGTTGCAGCAGGATTCCACCCTGTTTAGTCTCCTCACACTAAGTTCTGTCACTCCAAACTTTAAGATTTCATGGAGGAACAGGATCATTTCTGAGCTGAGCAGATGGGTGAGAGACTGTGAATAATGCTTCATTGGTTTATTTTGCTTCATAAAGCTTTACAGTTCCTCAATTTAAAAAAAAAATAAACAGAGCTGAACAAAAGAAAAGCAGACACAATAACACAAAATATCCCTGGCTCCTCTTCCTATGTTGAATGGCGAGGGCAGGGATGGAGTAGGAAGGCCCAGTATGAACAGAGGTGGAAAAGTGTTCAGAGGCTCTGTATTTTGTCCTCCCCACCAGACAAAGTTGTAGTAATATTTGTACCCTCCTAATCAGGTGACTTATTTTGATGAATTCTCCCTAGGTAAATGAGCCGAGAATGCTTCAGTATCCTTGTACTGCATCCCAAGGTCCTCTGCATGACTGTGCTGAGCAGAGTTGCATGAAAGCCATATATTCCTTAGACCAATCACTTCATGTTCTCTGTGCACTCAGGTAAGTGGCACCATTACAGTACATCAGTCGCATTTTCTAGCTCTCCTTTGTTCTCTTTTTCAAACTGAAACAAGGATTGTTGGATCAATCTGGATCATAGTTATATCACTCCAAGATCTCGGTCTGGATGTTAGATTCTGCATACTCCAGCTAGTACTACTCACACACACTAGAGTGTCTCAAGAATAAATAAGTCTTAAATGCAGTGTTTTCTTTTCACTCCCATACGACTGGCAAGGGGAGGGATTTTTCTGACTGACAGATTATAGGTCAGAAATTGTGTGAAAATACCAGAGACTCTAAATGTCTCAGCTAAATCTGGGCCTGAAGTACTAAGTTCATTCTATTCACTTCTATGTTGCATCGTGAGTTGAATTCGCAGATTGCACTTCCCTCATTACCTCATGGAATTCAAGTTTTTTTGAAAACAAAGTGAAAAAGCTACTAGGTTTATTGGAGAATTTGTTGTGCAAAACTCTCTGTTCTGCAAGAGGTCAAGCCAGATGAATGCAATGGTTCTTTTTGGCTCCAAAATCAATAACTCTTTGGAATTACTGCAAAGACTTGGTATACTACTGCCAGCTCTTCAAAAGAAAAAATCTATTTTCTATGTCTTTATACTCACCCTGTCCACTTTGAAATTATAGTGTGCATTGACAGAATTAATACAAGTGCAACTTCCAATTTAATTGATGTTGCATTTTCTCAGTGTAGAAAATACAATTCTTTGTAGAAACTGATTTGTTACAAGTAAATAAATGGTAATTATGTAGCCTGCTGTGCATTATGCTACATAACCCATTTAAGATCCTTCTCTACAGATGTTTAAGTTTATACAGGTGCTTGTCAGCAGACTAAGAGCATATTTACTGCATTTCTGCAGCAAGCTGGGAACAAAGTCACAAAATCTGCAAAATGTGGTACGAGATCACACAGATTTTCTAGTGTCTGTCCAGCATTGCATTGATCCTTTGTCATG